ATCAGTTCCCCTGGATACCATCAATTCCAGTGGGTTCCATCAATTCCAGTGGGTTCCATCAGTTCCAGTGGGTACCATCAGTTCCAGTGGGTTCCGTCAGTTCCCCTGGGTACTATCAGTTCCTCTGGGTACCATCAGTTCCACTGTGTACCATCAATTCCAGAGGGTGCCATCAGTTCCTCTGGGTACCATTAGTTCTAGTGGGTTCCATCAGTTCTCCTGGGTACCATCAGTTCCCTTAGGTACCATCAGTTCCGCTGGGTACCATCAGTTTCTAGTGGGTTCCATTGGTTCCCCTGGGTACCATCAGTTCTCGTGGGTACCATCAGTTCCACTGGGTACCATTAGTTCTAGTAGGTTCCATCAGTTCCCCTGGGTACCATCAGTTCCGCTGGGTACCATCAGTTCTAGTGGGTTCCATCAGTTCCCCGGGGTACCATCAGTTCCAGTGGGTACGAACAGTTCTAGTGGATACCATCAGTTTCCTGGGTACCATCAGTTCCCCTGGGTATCGTCTTGGCTGTGGCCACTTGACTTGGTTTTTTAGGATGCTCCACCCTGCGGCTCAATGGCCCAGCCACAGATCCTGAACTTTAATTATCCTGGATACTTTTAAAAATCACAACTACTTCCTGACCCTTTAAAATGAACCTTAAAATGTCCAAACTTTCCAAATTGGCAAGTTGTGGGCACACAGGACTCCTTGATCCCATCTCTCACCCTCCTCCTGTGCCCTTGAGTCTTACTCCAACTGTGACCTCCTGTGGCCCTGCCCCGTCCATGTCCCCCAGTCCCATGGTTGAGGCAGCTGAGACTCAGTTCATGCCGGAAGCCAGAGGCTTAACAGTGGCCCTTCCGAGCGCTGGCCCGTTGGTCTTCCTTCCCTTTGAGGCAGAAGCTCGTGACTCTCCCCTCCCCGGGGACCCAGCCCTTCTCTCTGAGGATGGGGACAAAATTGGCCCCGCCTGGGTTTTGGAAGGCAGTCTGGCAACACACATGGGAACCTGAGGAATGGGTACACCTGTTAAACCTGTAATCTCACCTGTGGAAATAGATGCTTCAAGAAAAACTTATTCAAGGGTCCAAGACAAAACTGACACATATGTATATTGAGAGAGAGAGAGAGGGGAGGAGGAGGGGAGGGAAAGGAGTTGAGAGGGAGGGAAGGGGAGGTATCTCAATTATGCATAAAAACAGGATGTATAGGCTGACTTACAGCTAGTATTTCTGGGCGGTGGTTTGCAGAGAATTTTGCATTTCTTTTTTTTTTTTAATAATTTTTATTTTTTAGTTTCTTTTTTTAAAATTGATTTTTTTTGAGGAAGTCTGGCCCTGAGCTAACATCTGTTGCCAATATTCCTCTTTTTCTTTTTTCTCCCCAAAGCCCCAGTACATAGTTGTATACCCTAGTTGTGGGTCCTTCTAGCTCTTCTATGTGGGACGCCGCCTCAGCATGGCTTGATGAGCGGTGAGTAGGTCCACGCCCAGGATCTGAACTGGTGAACCCCGGGCAGTGAGGCCGAGCGTGTGAATTTAACCACTACGCCACTGGGCCGGCCCCGAGAACTTTGCATTTCTAAGTTCAAGAATTCTGTATTTAAAGTTTTCTTTTACACTGACCTTGCGTGACTTTAGTAATCAGAGAACAAAAATAGATTTTTTAACAAGCTGTGCCACCTCTCTGAGCAGCGTGCAGGTGTGCCACAGATGAAGGGAGGGGACTGCCCCGCCTGCGGGTGCAGACACACACTCACACGCAAACACACATGCCTCCTGTTGGATTCAGTTGAGGCGACTGCAGCTCAACCGGAGTGAGCTCGGGGTCTGGTGTCAGCCACCGTAGCACCGCTTCCCTCGGCCCTGTGACTTCCTGAACGAGGAGGTGGCGGGGCACAGCGGCTGGGAACACCGTCCTCACAGGGACAGGAGCCTCCGGATGACGTCTTCACTTCTCTTCTGGGGAATGTTGGTAAACATTGGCTTCTCTTAGTCCACCAGCCTCTACAGCTCGTTTGTGTGACTCAGAAGAGGCACCCCTCTGAGCAGATTAATTAGGAAGAGTGCCCCTCTCTCTGGGTGGACATGGCTTGGCAATTGAGTAGGGGCTGGATTTCAGCCCACCCATTCACCTGTGTCCACCAGGTGTCTTTGTGCAGTCTGGGTCCTGAACAACTGCACATGGTGGCCCTGTCTCCTTGATATTAAACCAAACTCACCTTTACATCCTTGTCTGGGAGAAAAAACAGTTATTGTCTGGGCATGCATGAGCAGTATGTCTCTGTCTATGCCCCCGTCCCTGCACCTCGAGAATGTCCACAGTCCCACCCTCGGCACTGTGGAGGGACTTCAGACCAGGCTCGGGCATCCCTGGCCGGGGCAGTGAGGCAGGGCTCTGGGAGGAAGCCCGCCTGTGCTGGGTTGACGCCCCGAGTCGTCACCGAGCCCGTGTTCCGCAGCGGAGCAGCCCCTGGACCACGGCAGCCTCCGGCAGCTGGTGCTCGGCAGCTACACGGCCAGGGAGGCCCGGACGCGGGAGCGGGACTCGCTCTTGGACGGCGGGCCCGAGAGGGGGAACGACCTGAGGCCCAAGAAGAGGGTCACCGTCTGAGTGCAGGGGCCCGTGTGTGCCACGACCAGAGAGAATAAAGGTTTGTTGCGGAGCCCCGGCCTCCTGCCGCTCAGCACTGAGACGGGGGCGCCCAGGCCGGGCCGGGGTGGAGGGCGGGGGGCCGGGGCCGC